TTTCCCTAAATCGCACAGATACAAGATGTGTTTTTCTTTATAATTGTTTTTTCATACTGCTCTGATGTCCAAGAGAAAGCTGTGTTGCAAGAATATAGACTTCTCAAGGTTAAAAGAGGTGACCTGCCTACAGTGACTCTGTTTGCAGAGACAAGCAGACGAATGTGAAGCTCGGTACTTTTCAACCATACTATATATTCTGCTCTTGCCAGTTTAGCTCATGAAAGACTTTGCTGTCCTTAAATGTCAGAGTGTTATGTTCTGGGTGTGGACAGTAGCTCCAGCGTCTCTGGCTGGTAAAGGAAGCAAAACAACAATAGATTAATTGTGCAGGTCTTCAAGACTAGTGCTGACCCTTGTAGCTTGTATGAAGCTTTATTCAATAATCAGATCTCAAATCTTTGAAACCTGTGGGTACTTTACACTGTATTTCTTCAGGGATGAACAACCCTCAAAACAGAGATAAATAAACTCTTCTAACCCAATTGATCATCATTCCTGCATGCTACAAAAGAAATGTTTGGGCTTTTTTTTAACAAATAATGAAAAATCTTTAGTCTTTTCCAGAACAGTTTCCTCTTTGCTTTTACACTCCACTGAAAACCTTTGGTACAGGCAGATGAGTACACTATTTTATCTTCAAGCCTAGCTTCTTGACATCTGAGATGTGCCTCCTTCTTGTGTCGTTGTAGGTTCAGAGGAAAGCATAATGTCAAAATCAACTCTATTGCACTTCAGTTCCCAGTAGGAAAAAAAATCCTTTTCTGAACCACAAAGATAAAGTGTGTATGCTGTTCACTGGCTCTTGCTGTGGCTTATTTTTCATGCCCATCCTGCTCTTGGTTTTAGATTTATATTCTTTCGGGGCTCTGTGTTCTCCCAGGTTTAGTTTAGCTAACTGGCTGACCTATGTCCAGTGATAGTGAAAGACATTTTAAAACATGATGATTAAATGTGAGTTGACGTATTTTTTAAGCAATGAAACTTCATTAGCCTGCTTCCTTAGTTCATAATAATTAGAGAAATTAAATAAGAAGGTTGTGTGGCACACGCTACTCTGATCTGGCCAGTTTCCCTGCGAGCTATGTGACTTGTAAAGCTACCATGAGCAAAACACGTTCCCTGACCAGAAAGTAAAATTTCTGCTGCAAAAGAAAGCTACATCCTGTTCTCTGCTCCCACTGAGTATTCATATTCAGACACTCAGAATCTATGGTTTTCCATTTTTGTTTGATTTTTAAATCACATCGTGAATGCAAAGTGCTTTATTTTCTTTGTAATTCACTGTCTCCGGAAGCTCGGAGACCAGCAGCCAGAAAAACAAACCCTCTCTTCTCTCCCTAGCTGAACAAGATGCCCCTAAAACACAGCACCTGTTTGCAGTGAGCACTCTGATCAAATAGGCATGCTGAAAAATGTTTCTTCCCTTGTTTCTACCTGCAGGCAGGTACAAAGCTTTGCCCTTGAGAGAATTGCAAAACTGCTGTGTGAGTGCTTGGCGCAGCGACCTCCTGTCCATCACTTGCTCAGAGGATGGCCCTGAAAGTGTGTGTCCTAAGCGTAAGGACAGGCCACCCCGAGGAGCAGGAATAG